ATTGTTCCAATTCTATTGAGAGATTTCATTCCAATTCCTACCAACCAAATGCATGGTCAAATTCCATTCCAATTCCTTCAAATTCAAATTCCTTTGATGGATTCCAATTCCATCAAATTCCATTATGTGAACCAAACACCCCCTAAGGATTTAGATAATTTGAACCAGTCATCATTTATTAACCAACCCCTTCGGTTGGATTGGATGCAAATCACTTAGTCCTAGCAAGTAGCATCAGGGCTAAGATTTGATTCCCATGGCTGCAATCAATACCTCGGAGTCACAAAGACCTGAGGTTTGCTTGGGTCATATGGTGAGAGCGCTTTGGATAGAGACGCAATTGGTTCAGGATATCAAGATAAAAAGATCAACATCTATTAACTTGATCTTAATGAGACAGTTATAAACAGATCTCGGAAACATGGTTACCTAACACCGGCATCACCAACAATTCCGATAGCCATACCAGCAGAAAGACCAGCAAGGCCACAAGCAAGACCAGAAGAAAGATGAGCGTATCCATCAAAAAGATAATAAGATTTGGCCTTGGGGTTAATCCCGGTACTGATAATCACCGCAATAATCAATCCGTAAATACCTAACACTCCAGCCATAACCACCGGCACAATCGACTTCATCACCAACTCCGGCCTCATCACTCCCATCGACGCCACCCCAACACCGCTCTTCGCCGTTCCATATGCCGCCCCCATGCCTACATAAAAAAAGCCCAATAAAACATGTTGAATTGTAGATCGCGTTTCTCTTTTGGCTTTTTCAAATCCAATTATAATTAAGATTATAGAATAATTCACTCATTATTTGATTTCCAACGCCTAACATCTATGCTACTAGATCGACACCGCCAAAACGATGTTGATTTTAGGTTTCTCAATTTAGGGATTTAGGGGATCTACATGATTAGTTTAACTTACAAGAGAAGACTAGGGCGGCCGCGGCACCGAGAAAGCCGAAGAATGGAGCCGTTTCATCGCCGGAGAATGTTGAAGACATGGTGATTGAATTTGGTGCGTAGATCGGCAAAAAAATTGATCGGATCTGAGGATTTTCTTCTCCAGATATCCAAACTCCACAGAGAAGAAGAGATGATGGTATCTATACAACTTGTACGGACTTGCTTTATGATGAATAGCACATGATTCATGATTGGGTTGATTACAAGATGGTCCCTTGACTATTCTCTGATTTACACTCTTAGTACCTCAACTTTTAGTTTTTCATTTTAAGGAAGAGATGACCAAAGTTTGCAAAAAAAAAAGGTCAAATTGGTAATCAAACTATAAAAAATGTTACGACCACTTAGGAGATGTTTATTAAAAACTCTTATCAAGTAAACGTTTATAGGTAAAAGTTATCACTTTCATTAATTTTATCAGGTAAGATTCTTGGTCATTGAAATGACATTGTATGCAACAATCTCACACAGTAAACGTTTACCGGTAAAAGTTATCACCATCACTTATTGGATAAGACTCTTGTTCCTTAATTTGTCTTTTATCGGTAAGAGTCTTTCACCATCACCATACTCTTGCTTTTATAACTGAATGACCTAGTTAACATTTTTTTTCTTCATATTATCCCTTAATTAATATCAAACATACAATCACTACTTTATAAATCATACAATTTTAGCCACTGCAAAACTGGAAAATACAAGTTAGGCCCATCTTTTAATTTGGTTGGCGGTTTGGTCCCCCCCGGCATGTCTTAAATACAATGGTGGTGTCTGATTGGTTTGAGCTTGGCTGCAAAGATCAAAAATAGCAGGAGATCTCAGGTTCAAATCCAAGGAGGAATAAAATCTTCTTGTGACCACAGAGGTTCAAATGCAATCACTCTGAGCTATCTGCAAAGCAGGTGGTCGCCCTAGGATTAGTCGTCTCACAAAGCGGGTTGGATATCCAGGTTAATTATATATATATATATATATATATATATATATATATATAATTATATAAAAAGGTGGGCTAAATGCATCATTATATATTGCTAATATATTCATACCTATTAATTTTCTTTCTATACAAATAAACGTCAACACTTAGGAGTCGTGTACCTAAACACTTACCCGGTAAACAATTACCGGTAAAATTCAACACTATTGCTTACTTATCGGGTAAGATTTTATTCATTAAAACGCCTCATATGCAACAAATTTATCATGGTAAGCACTAACCATGGTAAGAGTCATCGTCATTACTTACTAGATAAGACTCTCGATTCTTGTCTTCGCTCTTACTGGATAGATTATTAGCCCTTGTCATATCCGGTAAAATAAAATGACTTGGTAAGTGCTTACCCGGGTAAGCCTTCGGCACCTTACTTTTTATATATCAAAAACATGATTTGACCTAATTCTGACACAAAAATAATGTATATAACATCACTTGTTATAACCCGTGTATAATATCAACTTATTTTTCTTCAATTCCTACTTATTCGGTTTTCTTATTTTTTATAAAGAAACAAATAACATCTGCTTTTTTGATTGACCTCCTCCTTTCTTTAATATTCAGAAGATCAAATTCAGATTACTGTTCAAGTTAGTGTTTCAGCCGAATTCGATTGAAAAAGATCCGAATCACGCTCTATAGGATTTGAACCTACGATGGGTTTTGGAGACCCACGTTCTACTAAACTGAACTAAGAGCGCTTTCTTATCATAAAAGATAAGACTGTAAAGAAAAGGATTGGCCCCAATACATCTTGTATGCATATACTATCTAATAGGCTGTTAAGGAAGGGTTTAAACAGAAACATCTGTATTCTATGAAAACACGAGAACATCATTTAACTATTATGAATCACATGTGATATTGTATTATGTCATATGCGATAATAAATCATACATGGACGATCTTTGATATAATCCTAGGTCGCAGGCCAAGTTACCCACATACCACCAAAGTATTATCACATGTGATTTCTAGAGTAAAATAGTGTTCTCCACTATAATAAATTATTAATATAAGTGGTAAAAAGAAGAAACTATAAATTGGTCTATATCTTGTATGGAAAAAAAATACTAACTTTTGTCTCAAAATAAATGTCCATGATAAAAAAAAAGTACACTTTCTTAGATATATATATATATATATGTGTGTGTGTGTGTGTGTGTGTGTGTGTATGTAATTATTATATACTAGTGCATGCACCATACGTTGCGCAGTAACGTTTTTTTTTTGTCAAGAAACACGTTAAATCATAGTATAAGAAACATAATTTGTTAATTAACTAATAAAATATAATATAAAACAATGAATGTACTTAAAATATTTTAGATATGAATTATTTTTATTTTTAGATTTTTTAATATGAAAAATATTAGGGTTTTTTATTCATGGATAGAAACTCGACCGTCGATTTAATCTTTATCATAATGAGAATTTTGTGGTTGAAATGTCATATATAAACACAAAATATTATTCATTTATGAAAATTAATTTAAAAACAAAGAGATGCACCAAAACATAAGTTAAAAGGATAACTACACAAACTTAACGACAAAGATAATACATCAAGTTTTATTGGACTTTAAAACGAAATAATTAAATCTCAAGAGAGGATTGAAAGAACCCTTCTGCAAAGATGCAGTTAAATCCTAAGATGATAAACAATCTGATCATATCACTTTGTTATGTAAAAAAAAAAATCCTGACAAACAAATAAACAAAAAGCATCAAACCCATCATTGATTAAAAAAATAACAAACTTCAATTCATGGTGCAGCTCAAAACACAAATCTATAAGAAAAAACTTTTCATAGTTCATAAAATGGAACAAACTTAGTTCATAATTCACCATATGAAAAAACGTAAATTTATAATTTATCAAACAAATAACTCAGTTCTTGAAATTTGGAAAATATACAAATTCTAGAATACACAATACCTTTGTCCTTGTAAATGTTAATGAAATTGTAGCAAATAGGGATAAATGTCTTTCATTGAAACCTCAAATTTGTTTCAAGTAGAAATTCAATTTAATCATAGTGCTATATAACATATATGTATATAATACAAACACGCACATATATTTTGTACAACATCGAGCTCCTTTTTAAATAAATAAAAAAGTTAAATCATATGATAGCAATGTACTTTAAGTCTTCAACTATAAAAACTACGATTCATCTAATTTTTCAGTATTTTTTATTTAATGAACTACTTCGTGAAACATTTGTCAACACTTGATTAGCACTTTTGCAAAACTTAACAAAACCCATTTTGGGTTACAAACAACTAGTATGGGAACCGTGCGTTGCACAGTAGCATGAGTACTTTGATTAATAATCTGAAGATTGTCTATATAAATATGTATTAGTTGTTAATAGAATTATCAACAAATAGTATTTAAATAATTCTAAAAAGTTAAATAAAATATAATTAGTGAAATTTTAATATATATATATATATATATATATAGAGACTTGGGATCATATGAGACCAAGGCTTTTTCGTGAGACCCGTAAGATCAATTCTCATCCCTTGGATTAAATCTATAATCGTCAGATCTGAATATTCACAAACGCCACAAAACTTCTCAATAATCACAAAATTGCCACCGTTCAATTTTAGACCATTAGATCATTAGCTTATAAAGTTAATCAATGAAC